ATATAAATTACTCAAAGGGATAATGTCCATTTTTTTATAAATATCTTGTGTAAAACGTAAATCAATGTTATAAAAAAGTTTTTAACTAAATGTTGAAAGGTGACGGGTATAAAAAGTGTTTCCCCCATTATCAATTATAGCCCAGGCAAATTAGACATATGCTCCCCAAAAAATCGTCTAAAGCTGGAAAGTGTTTTAATACCTTTTGGGGGTCCCAAATAAGACTCCTGTGAGTTTGCGACGGATTCTGACGTCTGCTAAAGTTTTGGGAGTCGAAAAACTATGAAAATTTTGCACTTTTTTCAGTTTTTCGCTTATAACTCCTAAATAACGAATCCTAAGGAAAATGTTGTTCAAAGGTGTCTTTTAGTGCATTAAATTACGCGTCGATTGATGTTAAATACGTCAAAATCGGCCGAGCCGTTTAGCCGCTGTAGCTTTTCAAAGTTCGGATATTTTCATCAACATGGCCAAAAGGTTGATTATTTGACCAGTTTTCGACTTACAACTCCTAAACGACGCATGCTATACAAAAATGCGCCTGTAGTTAGTTTGGAAAACACAAAATTCGGCGTAGAATTATGATTATGAATGACTAGATAGTGGTTTATTTCATGGTTATCATCCAGAGGTTTATCCAAGAATGTGTGAAGGGAAGGGGACCCCCTATGCAATTTTAAATCTAATATTGTTGAGGGGGTTACAAAAATTCTACGATTCGTTCTAAGCTCCCATTTATACGATTCCATCAATGGACACTCCCGAATTATGTTAAGCGATTCTAATATATAATAAGATATTACAACGAGAAAGATTTTATTAAATATAGCAAAAATGCTATTTTTTAGCTTAATAAACGAAAGATGATAATGGGACGGATGTACATAGTTTTACTATGTATTTAGCCTATTAAAAAAAATTGGGATTTTTCGTAGATTTTACCATATAACTTTTCTACTTCTCATCATTGGAATCTTAAGAATAAGGATTCATTCTTTGCTCTTATTGGTCTTGCCACAAATGGTGACATTCGGTAACATCTTTTTCGTCAGATATCGAATTGAGATAATCGTGCCCCTTGCAAGTCTTTCAGACAGTAGTTCATTATATCCCTGCATTTCATATGGAGCGAGAAAATGTAAACCTTTTTAACATGTACACGATGGTCGAGATAGGTAGACGGAGTTGAGAAGTTCTTGTCGAACCGGTGGATTAGCCGTAGTGATGGGAGTTAACCCATTGACGTTAATTTTCCATACCTATCTCTCTGAATTAAGTACAATTTTAAATGAGCTCTAAAGGATTGGTGGATGAGCAGCCCCTTTTGTAAGAATCAAAGTCAAAATTAGTTGAAAGTGTCCTCTAGAAGAGACCAACCCTCACTTGATTTGGATATTTTCTGCTCCCACCCATGTATAGAGCCAACCTGCTTCTGCAACTTCGCCAAGCGTTGTAACCCGTCAGAACACAGTGAGATCCACATTGATTGGAGTAAACAGCATGAGTAGTTAGGCTACATGAATAGTTAGATTTTCGACTCTTCTACATCACGCTTTCTTCATCAAACTGCGCTAGTGGGTACGGACCTATTTTCAATCCAAAGTATGATTCAAATTGAGGCTTGGATTTAATGAGGAATATCACGTGTTGACTGAGGGGGCAGATTCTTCTTTAACCTTTGCTGTTGCCATCACAGCTTGCGATTAATGTCACCACTTCCTTTTATTCTGCACAGTTTATGGTCATTATAGGCTTGCCTATTTACGATTTTCTTGCAAGCTGTGCCTTTCCATTATGATTTTACATATCTCGCGTTGATGCTATCATATGGGATAACTGCTGAGCTGATTGACATTAGCGAACAATTTTCAGTAAATGGGTCGTGACACTGGAACCATTTGATGAATTTCTTTTTGATCCCACCGTATCCGTGGAGTTTATATTGTCAACTTGCTGATTATATGTTGAAGAGGTGATCCCACAATATACCTTAACTTGATGGGTAGCATTCACTGCGATGGGCCTGCCAGCGAACCATCGGGCTAGATCCACATCATTGATTCCCCTATCTCGGAAAAAGCTCTCCACAGTAAGATATTGCTCTCATGAGCACTTACTTGTTCATAGGCCATGCTGCACGATCCATGACGTCACACTAGTGGATAGATTCACTGCCATATCCCCTATGTTTTTTGTAATTAGGCTGGTTGTTTGCCAGATTTCAATGGTAAGATTTTAAACTTGACAAGCATCAGATCTAGTGTTAACAATCAATAGCGGTTAAATGGTAAAGCCGATCTTAATGAATTGGAAAACATTCTACGCAGACGTTTATGCTCTTCAAACTAACAACAGGAACATTTTTTCTATAGCATGCGTTAGAAGATGTAATCCAAAAACTGAAAGATGAATACAGGGATAAATCGTATATAATGGGTGGTTGGGATGAATCCTAGGATTTTCGGAACCTCAGACAACAATATTAGACTTAAAATTATATAGGGTGTCTTACTCTCATCACACCTTATTAGATAAACCTCTAGATGACCATCATGGAATAAACCACTATCTAATAATTCATAATCCATTTAAGGACAGGATCTATGTTGTTACCAATTTTATTAAAATTTCCCAACTTTAACTTTAATACTTTTTTTCAATGAAATGGCGTCCATACAAAGTAGGTAACAATCAATTGCCGTTATTGATTAATAAAAAAAAACATTATACGCAGAATTTTGTGTTTTCCAAACTAACTACAGGTGCATTTTTGTATAGCATGCGTCGTTTATGAGTTTTAAGCCGAAAACTGGTCAAATAATCAACCTTTTGGCCATGTTGATGAAAATATCCCAACTTGGAAAAGCTACAGCGACTAAACGGCTAAGCCGATTTTGACATATTTAACATCAATCGACGCGGAATTTAATGCACTAAAAGACACCTTTGAACAACATTTTCCTTAGGATTCGTTATTTAGGAGTTATAAGCGAAAAACTGAAAAAAGTGCAAAATTTTCATAGTTTTTCGACTCCCAAAACTTAAGCAGACGTCAGAATCCGTCGCAAACTCATAGGAGTCTTATTTGGGACCCCCAAAAGGTATTAAAACACTTTCCAGCTTTAGACGATTTTTTGGGGAGCACACCCTATATTTGATCTAATTTGCCTGGACTATTATTATTTGATTGATAAATATTTTTGTTTTGTCTCATCTATCAGTCAGAGTAGCTAAAGTGTATTAACAAACATAAATAATATCTACCCATGTTGTACAATAATGAACATAAGGAAATAACTACTTACCAAGGTTTCCTACAAACTAAAATACATAGTATAGTTATTAATAAATGGTATCAACAAACTGACACATACTTTCTCCCATAAGCTTGTAAACAACCTTTATCATGGATAAGCGGTGGGAGTAACTATGATATTCTAAATCACAAAAGTTGCAATAGCTTTTGAACCGTAATTGTTACAGCAATGCGGGGTTGCACTATTTTTGTTTAGAATAAGGATCATAACACATCAATTTTAACCAAAATAGGCTTTTTTCCTAAAATCCGATATTTTGTTATTTTTTATGGGGGTTTTATGGAAAATAACATAAGTTACAATAACTTTTGAAACATACTTTTTACGGATATGGATTTTGTACTATTTTGTTCAGATTTTAAAGGAATATAACATACTAAATCTTTTTTTAATCGTTCGTGCCATTTTGGAGAAAATCAGATTTTTCTGTTATTTTATGGGTTTTTATAGAATAATCCCCATTAAAAATCAAAATTTTGAAAAAATGAAAAACGCCTGGAGATATAATGTATTAGTACCTACGTACCAAATTTCATCAAAATCGGATGAAAGGTGTGGTCTGTAGCTCTGTACACATCCACACACAAGCACACACAGACATCACTTTGAAAACCACTTTTTTGGGTTCAGGGGGATCCAAAACGGATATATCCACTCAAAACTCAAACTTGTAAATTTTTTTAAACCTATACTTTCTCCATATACTATGTATAGGGGGAGAAAGTAAAAATATAGCCTGTATGATGGAGCCTGTTTCCTGACCCTTCCTCTATCTGGAACTGTCGGGGGCTTTAAACCATTGGCAAATCCCCAGGTAAAGGGAGGGTCAGGGGACAGGCTCCATCATACACACTATATTAATGGCTAGCTATGCAGGATTTGCAACAAAACTATATTTACCAAGGGTGTAAAAATATATAAAATAATGATAATTAATCAAGATTTCTGACAAAAGTTTATTGATATGGTTCTACTTTGTTCTGCAACAAACATTAAGTTACTAGTTTCATTCATCAAAAAATAATACATGCATAATAAATTTTACAATATGAAGTAGAAATTATTATAAAATATAGTTGCACAAGGTTTTCCAACCAACATATTGTAGCCAACATAAATCCAAGGTTTGCAACAAATAATAAAGTAGTTACCCAAGATTCCCAATATCAATGGTTGTCCAAAGTTTCAATCTCTGAGCTCAAATATTGGTAAGAGTGGATGATATTGCCTGCCTTCAAATAACTTTTTGAGAAAACCTTGTTAAAACAAACACTTACCTGTGATCAGTTTTTAAGAAACTTGAAAGGGGGTTTCACTTTTCATTGCTGTTAATTTTTTTATTGGAAAAATTGTATTTCATGGACTTTAGTCTATTTAGGGGTTAGTCAATGGCTCAGTCAGTAGTGCTAGGATTTCGGGACCTAGGCAGTGATGTCATGGGTTCAGATCTTGGTACCTGCTAATACTTTTACCTGCTAAGTAGCTAAGTGATGAGAGGGCTTACAAATTGATCTAAATTGTGTAATTTCAATAGAGAAAACTTTATTTTTTTAGAATTTGAAACTGGATTCAGCTGTACTTGGTCATTGGCGAGTTTTAAGGTAAATATTATTGCTAAAATCAGCTATTATTCAGAAAAAAAAGCTTTCACACTAGTTCTGCAATAGTATTTATTATCTTTGTGTCAAACTTAACAACATGGAACACTTTAACTTTTACATTATTTTGTTACAAAGATGTTACATCAAGCATATAAATGTAAATAAATATACTTCTCCTATTCTTTACACCATAGAATTTTTTTCATAAAAATAACTACCATCATCCTTTCAAACTAATTTAACTGACTATTTCACATATAAATTCTCAATGACATCACTTTAACACATGAGATAGCGATCTAGAGGTGGTTAATATACTGACTGGTATTCAATAAATTAGGAATTTTTAAAGTAAATAATTTATCAAAGAATTCAAACTATGGATCTTAATTATTTTTCTTTGCACTTTATTCACTGGTATCATCCAAAATATAAATCCAACTAAGTCCAATTTAAATTAAGACCCATTTTGTGTATAAAATCTTAAAAGTATGTTTTTAATATTACTTTTAATATTGCCGAATCAAACAAAAAGATTGCCTATAAAAACCTGTGCTCCAGTAATTATAAATACCTCTCTGTACATATGCAATACAAAATGAACTTTTAAAGTAGACCTGTATTAGAAAATCTCATGCATTGACATAACCTTGTGTTTCTCAGCAATTTGTTGACAATCTACTCCATGGTTTATAATAGCCTTAAGAGAATTCTTCATTACATCTGAGACAGCTTCCTCTGGAATGCAAAATTTGAACAACTTGTTTAATATTGTGTTTGATCTTTGTCAACTAATAAGTAAAAAAAGTGTTAAATATTACTATTTGGTAAAGTAGATACATTTATGACTGGGACGGTGGCGTCGACCTGTAATCCAGCTACTAGGAGGTTACAAATTGTGGATATGCGATACTCCCTGGTGTGGATTAACATCCGGTTTTGTGAGTACTATGACTATCTATAATACTATAGTTGAAAGTATTAAAGTATCCATAGCACTATCCTGATAATTAGACCAATTCGTTAATACCAAGGCAAAAATGTGGTTCAAATTCTACTATAAACTGTAGGTCCCTTAGTTGCCATTAGCTGTATGGGCTATTAATTAACAGCTGTGTCTAAGGAATATGTCAGCTTTAGTCACTAACAAGACTACAATATCGCGCCACTAATCCTACACTCATCTTTCACTCATATTTGGGTTAAAATACACACTTATTATAGTGACGTCCCCATCTTAAATAATTGATATAACTAAATAACTATATCATTTCTAAATCTAGATTCTCCAAATCTAACTAAACATTAAACAGTAGTTTTGAAAGTTATGTCAAATTTGCCTTTCGAGATGCAAGAATCAAATCAATAAAAGAGGAAATGAAATGAAATGAAATGAAATATTCCTTTATTGTCACAATACATTTCAAGTTTTTCAGCAATGCTGATGAAACAGGTGACATTGTCCATTATTAAAACTAGATTTACAATTCATAGACTAGGCCCGTTTTCAAAAAAAGGCAATGCAAGAAGCATTTCATGTAACAATTGGGGAAACAACGTTTTTAGGGTATTTCGACCCTGCTGAGTACGAATCTGACTGTTGCCAACGCGAAATTTGAACCGGAAGTGCGGTATCCAAGATGGCGGCCAAAACTCTTTTTGCCCCATATCTCCCTTGTTAGTTGGCCTAAAATAATGGTTTAAACGTGTATATAGGGGTTTTTCAGATGCCAAACACATTACAACACTCAAAATTGACTTAAATTAAGTTTTGAGGGCATATCTTCCAAAATGGCGCCCAAGATGGCCACCAAAAACTCTAATTTCCTCATATCTCCCTTGTTTTTTGGCTGAAAATAATTATTTAGACGTCTGCATAGGGGTTTTCTCGGATGCCAAACACATTGCAACACCCAAAATTTACTTACATTAAGTTTTAGGGGCATATATTCCAAGATGGCACCCAAAATGGCCGCCAAAAACTCTTATTTCCGTATATATATATATCCCTTGTTTGTTTGTTTAAATTAATTATTTAAACGTCTAAAAAGGTATTTTCTCGGATGTTAATCACATTGCAACACTCATTATTTACTTCCTTTGAGTTTAGATGACATATGTTTCTAAGATGGCAATAAAAACTTTATTGTGCTTACGTGAGCTCCGTGCGTATTATTGTATTTAGTGTTTAAAACCAGTCAGATATCTATTAGTGGCTGAATATGTGCTACTATTTTTGAAATACCAATTGAAATTTAGCAATGTTAAAGTAGAAGGCAAATTGTTTAATGTAGGCTACTCTGGTGGCACCGTAGATAACGCATAGTACAACAGAACCTGTAATTAAGGAATTTTTAGAATTAAGTGTGTATGATGTTGACGAATTTATCACTTATTAAAGGTGTCCAGTTATGTAAATAGATATTTATTGTAAAATATGACGATACCATACGTATTTTTCGTGTAGTCCAACAGAACCTGTAAAAATTATTTTTTAGACCATCCCTAAAATCCGCAAGAGGTGGTGCATGTAAATTAAATTAAACAAAGGTACTTTATAACACATTAATAAATAACTAGCGTACATGTTGCTCGAATTCGAGCAATTGCAATGTATTACAGGAGTTATTTCAAAACGAATAACAGTCATATTTACAATGAGTTTAAAAGAGTCAACTCAAAGATTACCGGTGTGTAACTCAGACCATGTTTATCTTCGTTATTGATAAACCTAAAGCATTCCGGCCGGTTTTCTCCTTCTCTAAATGCCTCGCTGTACAGGCAACACAGGTCATTGATAGAGGGCCAATTGAGAACAAAAAGTCGTTTTGGGGTAGTGTTAGGGCGCATTTGTAACCTAATAGTTGAGTGTGTCCAGGGTCAGGTGCCGACTGTGATGAGTTAAGCCTAATACGCGCCACTGATCTGTAGCTGTGGTCGTTATCACGATTACGCCTCATGTCTATGTTTCGTTGTCGTCGCGTCGGAGGCATTTAAAAGAAAAAAACAACAACAAATAAACAAATTATAGGTACACAAAAACACTATAAATGCACAAATTTAAGTTAGAATCATGCTAACCCGATCCGTCATAGCGACACAAAACAACCATAAATACACAAATTTAAGATAAAACCATACTAACACGATCCGTCTTGGGGGTTATGTTTACACAAACTCAAATAGTAAACAAATGTACTCAATGCGTTTCATTGAATTGAAAAATAAATAACAGCAATTAAATTATACAGCTGATCAAAATGTAAACAATTATGTTCCTCATAAGGATAACATGGGAACTTTCAAAGCCACTGGGGCAGAGCCCAAAGGACTTTTTCAAAAATGTAAGGCCAGTTTGCAAATCTACGCGACACGCTCTTTCCAGTGAGACGTCAATGGATAAAATCGGTTAAGAAATGGCGGAGGAGTTCAACCGACAAAGTTTTATGTAGCGTATTAATTATATAGATAATAAACAATTTGGTTATAATATTATCAATGATACTGTACTGTTATATTGCATTGATCTTGTGGTACCACCCATCAATGGAGGTTTGTTTACCATGGGTCTCAATGGATAAAATAGATTTTTAAAAGGTTTTTTTTTTATGGCAGCATGTTGGCCAAGCGTCTATAAAAGTTAGTTTATGAAGAGAAAGTAAACAATTGTATACATGTGTACAAAATAATTTTCAATAAAGTAAAATCTTTTGTTTTCCAACCGTCTATAAAAGTTTGTTTGTGAAGAGAAAGTAAACATTTATATGCATTTCTACGAAATAATTATTTAAGGTAAGTACAATTTGTATTAAATCCTTAGTTTATTCAAACTTAGCAATAGGACGCAATACGTTATTTTCACATTTAACAAACGAGAAAACATAACAAATAGCGTTTACCGTGATTATTTTACGATTTGTTCAAAAACTCTCTATTGCTAAGTTTAAATAAATTAAGGATTACATACAATTTGTACTTACCTTAAATAATTATTTTGTAGAAATGCATATACATTTTTACTTTCTCTTCACAAACAAACTTTTATAGACGGTTGGAAAACAAAAGATTTTACCTTATTAACAATTATTTTGTACACATGTATACAATTGTTTACTTACTCTTCATAAACTAACTTTTATATACGCTTGGCCAACATGCTGCCATAAAAAACCCTTTAAAAATATATTTTATCCATTGAGACCCATGGTAAACAAACCTCCATTGATGGGTGGTACCACAAGATCAATGCAATATAACAGTACAGTATCATTGTTAATATTATAACCAAATTGTTTATTATTATTTATTAATGTGTTATAAAGTACCTTTGTTTAATTTAATTTACATGCACCACCTCTTGCGGATTTTAGGGATGGTCTAAAAAATAATTTTTACAGGTTCTGTTGGACTACACGTTCAGATCAAATCAAATTAATTATTGCTGTAAAACATAAAAAAAATACGTATGGTATCGTCATATTTTACAATAAATATCTATTTACATAACTGGACACCTTTAATAAGTGATAAATTCGTCAACATCATACACACTTAATTCTAAAAAATCCTTAATTACAGGTTCTGTTGTACTACGCGTTATCTACGGTGCCACCAGAGTAGCCTACATTAAACAATTTGCCTTCTACTTTAACATTGCTAAATTTCAATTGGTATTTCAAAAATAGTAGCACATATTCATCCACTAATAGATATCTGACTGGTTTTAAACACTAAATACAATAATACGCACGGAGCTCACGTAAGCACAATAAAGTTTTTATTGCCATCTTAGAAATATATGTCATCTGAACTCAAAGGAAGTAAATAATGAGTGTTGCAATGGGATTAACATCCGAGAAAATACCTTTTTAGACGTTTAAATAATTAATTTAAACAAACAAACAAGGGATATATATATATACGGAAATAAGAGTTTTTGGCGGCCATTTTGGGTGCCATCTTGGAATATATGCCCCTAAAACTTAATGTAAGTAAATTTTGGGTGTTGCAATGTGTTTGGCATCCGAGAAAACCCCTATGCAGACGTCTAAATAATTATTTTCAGCCAAAAACAAGGGAGATATGCGGAAATTAGAGTTTTTGGTGGCCATCTTGGGCGACATTTTGGAAGATATGCCCACAAAACTTAATTTAAGTCAATTTTGAGTGTTGTAATGTGTTTGGCATCTGAAAACCCCCTATATACACGTTTAAACCATTATTTTAGGCCAACTAACAAGGGAGATATGGGGCAAAAAGAGTTTTGGCCGCCATCTTGGATACCGCACTTCCGGTTCAAATTTCGCGTTGGCAACAGGCAGATTCGTACTCCGCAGGCTCGAAATACCCTAAAAACGTTGTTTCCCCAATTGTTACATGAAATGCTTCTTGCACGTTATAGAGAGGGATATTATAATTATGGGCCTGATCTATCATTCCTATAAATTAAATAAATGTAATAGAAAAATGTTTAACTGTTATTCAAATATTCAGAAACAGATTCAAACTGTTTTTGTAAGAGATGCATTCTAAACTCGCTTTTGAATTTTGAAATACTGGTAATTTGTCTGAATTTGGTAGGTAGACTGTTGTAAAGCCTGAGACTCATATAAAATGGTGATCTTTCATACAGACAGAGGCAATGTCTTGGATATTTCAAATTATTTTTAAAACGAGTAGGATATTGATGGATGAATTGATTGTTGTCATATGATTGGTAGTTACTTTTTAAAGAAACCATCATTTTAAATATATATAGAGAAGGCATTGTTAATATGTCGTATTTTTTAAAAATAGGTTTAAATGATGCTCTTTTTGGTGCAAAAGATAGGATTCTTAAATACTTCTTTTGTTTTTTAAAAACTGTGTCGGCATATGAAGTTGAGCCCCATAGTTCAATTCCATACTGCATGATGGAATAAAACATTGCATAATATACAGTAAGTTTAGTTTTCAGATCAATTATATTCCTTAAAACATACATTTGAGAACAGGCTGAATTCAGCCTCTTTAGTATCATGTCTATGTGTGGTTTCCAGGTTAAATTTTTATCAATAATTAAGCCTAAGAACTTTGTATGTTCAACAAAAGGTAAAGTATCGCCTTGGTAGTGTAATTCAAAATTTTGATTCTCTCTATTTTGGATTGTTTGAAATAATATAACCTGTGTTTTAGAACTATTAAGTTGAAGCCCTTTACTGTAAACCAACTGAACAAATCTATGAGTGAGCGGTTGAGTTCTAATTTTAGATTGGGTATATCTTTTGCTTTAACTATGGCTGTAGTGTCATCTGCATATAATATGAGGCTAGGAGATACATTTTGAGGTACATCATTCACAAAAATTAAAAATAGTAAAGGACCCAATATCGAACCTTGTGGGACACCACATTTAACTTCTTGCCAATTCGAGATAAACTTTTTGCCATTTTTTATAATTGATGTTCTTTGTTTCCTGTTAGTTAAATAAGAATCAATCCAAGACAAAGCCATGCCAGAAAATGAATAATGTCGAAGTTTGCTCATTAAAACGTCATAATCTACACAATCAAACGCCTTGGATAGATCACAGAACACCGCCGCAGTACTCTGTGATCCATCCAGGCCAGCCTTTCTAAGACGCACATTAGTCTATAGGCAAACCAATACAAAGTTATAGCTTTCCAGCTCCCTCTTATCTTGAATTAATTAAATTAAGTTTTAAGTCATTAATTAATTATTAAGCTTTAGTAAATTGTATACGAGTGACTTTGAAAAATATATTGTACTGATAAGTGTTCAAAAATAAAAGCATTCTCATGTAATTTGATACTACAATCAAAAAACCAAATTTGCTGGGTATCCAAGAGGTCATAGTGATGCTTGCCTTCAAACCTGAAGGTCACTATTTGATTCCTTATGAGATTGATTCTGGACCAAGTTGATATTTCTCATTATGGTGCTATTTAACAAAAGAATTGACTTTCCATACTGTAGACTCTCTCTTATCTGGACACCTCTTAAACAGACATCGGTTTAACCAAACTACACTCGGCAGAAGTGAATCTCTTCAAGCAGACAATTTTTATCAGCACATAAGTTTTGGTATAACCAGACTGGAATGGGAGGAAGTGGACAGTACTAAAACAACTTTTCTCGTGGAAAATATTTGAGACCAGTGATCTTTTGTCAAAACACAATGCTCTCATAAAATATTGGGTTGAAAAATAATTAATAATTCCACTTTTTGTGATTGGACAGGCCATAAAGCCATGTGCATTCAAAAATATAATCATCTCTTCCCCTACACTATTGTGCATTAAAGTCAGAATGTTTTTAGGGGATGCCAGTTTAATCGGAAAACCCGCTATCCGGACTCGCTTCGGTCCTGAGGATTCCGGATAAGAGGAGTCTACTGTAGCATCAAGACCAGGGCTTACACTGCTTTCTAACAAAAAGACATAAAAAATACCAACAAAAACACAAATAAACTTTAACAGACATTGTTTGTTACTCACCACCCTCCCAGTTGCCGATGTACGCAAGGTTGATGATGTACTGTTGAACTGTCTGTGGCTGTCTGAGCTGTTTTCCTATTCTCAACATGTCCAAGTCTGGGCTTTCACTCACAGTCCATCCTCTTCCTTCAAACACTGTTCCGTCTGGACCTACCAGGAAACTGATGTTTAAGTCAGTGACTAGCTAATGGATTGAAATACAGGAAGACTGGTTATTGCTCAAAGTCAGTTAGGTGGTAATTTAAAGGCTGTTTTGTGATTTTATCTTTTGATCTTGATCAATATTTTCAAACATGGCCTTCAGGAGATGATCGTGTTGTTGAGTTGGAGTTGGCCGCAAAGATGGTATGTTGAAACAAATATGAAACATCGCCTCTATCTTTGTTAATTCTACGAAGCAATAATCTCCCAGAAATCAAGATTTGACATTCTACTTTGAACGAGAAGCCTATCGTCAAGACAAAGTAAATATCGTAAATGAGTAAATCTTCCATGGTCATCACCATAGTCTGTATGATGAAACATATCTCTGAGTCCTGACTCTTCTTCTATGTGGGACTGGCCTGGGCCTTTAACCATTGGCCACTCCCTAGGCAGATATATTTACGTTTTGATATTTAGACCTAGCTTCTCCCTTATTTCTTCAATGTTTCAAGGAGAGGATTTTGAATATAAATAATGATGAAACAAAAAGAAATTGAATTGGTTTACTTTTTAAAGAAGTTAATGATAGGACACTAAAGTGAACCAAAAAGATAATGTGTTATAATGTTAAGTGTTAGCAATTGAGATTGAATATCTTATTAACTGTAGAGTAGTTTAGCTATTTTGGGTATTGTTACAGTAGGTAAACTTACGGGGTAAAAGAGGTAAAATAATTGGATACTCCAGACCATTTGCCATTGGGAATCACCAAATCATTTAAAAACCAGAATCTTCTTAAGTCACATTGTCAAAAAATTAAAATGTATAAAGCACCTTCTACAGTACCAAATCAATTTAGTCTATTGGCTCTAAAGCCGTGTTTACAGTAGGTATATGCAGGTTACAGAGCAGGTTATACCTCTAGTGTGCACCTGGGACATTTAAAATTCCCCCCTACTGTTTTTATGCAAACGCAGCTTAAAGAGTATGGATCCTTCATAGATACCAAAAATATAAGTTAACCTCTAGCAAAATAAGGAACACCTACTTGTGAGAGATGTCTACAAGATTATTGTCCTGGTCTCTGCGTTGAATATCTCGCATGACCGGAATACACTCTTCTGCAGTGTGACAAACATCCCTGCCAGTGAAGTACCGCAGCATGACCGTCATGGCAGGGCGTTTGAGTGGCTGAAGTCCCGGGAAGTTAGGAGGCGCTGCTCCCCACTCTTTGCGCGACACTATCACCAGAGGCTTCTCTTCTGTTTTGTCCTCAGGTGCTAGAGAACCAAACTATAATTTGAGTGAAAAATTATTAGTAGCATTAAGAATGTGTACTTAATTTTTGGCATACTTTACATTAGCAAGAGTCAGATATAAAGTTAGTGTATACATGCAGAGTATAGTTGTCTTTCAAATTTTTTGTGGTCTGGTTGCAATTAAACTCTCTCACAAAACACAAAGAGGGGGAAAACAATTTCTGCTGGCTTAAAATGGTATAGAGTTTATCACATAAAAAATATACAACAAATGGTATCTGGGTCGAAAGCAGTCATCCAGATTTCAAGGTAAAAACCATGACTACATACTCATCAGAAAATTATTTGCTATCCCTTTAAGGAATAGTTCACTTTATTAATTAGAGGGTCCCTCACCCTTAACTTACTATTTCTCTGAGGACCAAAATAACAAAGTAAAACTATAATAACAAACAAATTAACCAACAATTTTTTTTAAGGTTTGATTTTAAGGTATAATTTTTGCAGTTAACAGGTAAATATTATGAAAATAGTTTGAATAGTAATCATGGCTAATTAAAGAAAACGTGTTAGTTTGAATATGACTTTTAATCATTTAAATATTTAAAAAATACTTACTGGGACCTTGTGTTGAAAGTAATTCACCCTCTTCTTTCTTGGACTTTTTATTTTTTACCTCTGACATATTTATACTTTACTTGTTTACTTGTAAGAAGCTACTTTTGGAACTTGCAACTCAATAGTTGTCAATATTTTTAACTTTGTTTATCATTATTTATGGCTGGCTCCCTTATCAATTATCACTTTGAATGTATCATTATGTTACAATTTAGTTTGATACAATGGGAAGTCTATTCTGTGTATAGTAAATGATACAGCTAAAGAGTACAAGTTTAGTGTTCGCAGTGCTTTTGCTTTATTTCTATTAGCTGTAAGCTAACTCCATGTAGCGTTACAGTTTATATTGTCAATACTCCTTTATACCTCTGAAACTAGGATGATGACTGCTATTAAATTATTGGTTTCAAAACTAGTTTAAAATAGTTCAAATCTAGTGGTTTGCTTGAAGGTTTCGTCAAATAAACTGTATTTTCTTGTCCTGTTAATATACAAGTACGATCAACCTATGATCATATAGTTATTAGAAGCAAAGAGTAGTAAGGTAGCGGAAACATTCAATGGTGCACTTCAGGGGTGTCTATCACTAGTTGCTGATGTCTAGGGCACAGTCCAACACCACCCCCTGCACCATCATGTACTACAGAACAACACTCGCAGTGAAGGAACACCCTGTGGCCCTGTGGATAGGAATTTCCACACAGAGCCCGACACTCGACATCTTGCTTAATTGTTTTTAGAAATATATTTCTACCACAACACACTGGAGCTTAAAGTACACGGTCGTCACATAAGTATGTTTCCTCTGTACCATACTTCTCTGTGCTGTAAGTAAACCCACACCAGCAATTGGCCTCTCTGGCCTATCGTCATTAATATCATTGCATTGACAATGCTGATTATTTCAACCTCAATATGAACAGGGCTTTATAAATGGGCCAGGTGGGCCTGGGCCCAAGGTCGCTGAGGTTTTAGGTTTGTTGGGGGCTCAAGGAAGAGAAACATTCCCCCACAATGTAGGTGAGTGGGGCGCATAGTTATCTCTCGGGCCCATAGCGCATCACATATAAAGGGTCAGGACCATTTTATGAAGAGCCCAACAGCCGTCTGGATCAAGCTCTGACTTTCTCAGGATCGAACCAGCGAGTCCACATGTTGGATTTATAGTTTGGGTGATATGTATTTGATACATAAAAAAATATAAACTATGTGCTGCTTTTATTTTAAATACAACAAATTATTAACCTTATTCCTTTGATGTAAGAAACATTATCTATACATTTAAATTGTACAATGCTACAGAAAAATAATGTCTAGCTAGACTCCTTAATCACTTAGTTTCTTGTGATAAAATTCTTAATTCTTGACCAGCTTGGTCAGTTCCTTAACTTCATAATCTGGACTGATGTAACCGAACTCCACTCCAAATTCAATCAGTTCATGAACAGCCATGTTCATATAGTCAGGAGCACCTTCTGGAATAACAATGTAAATAAGAGAGTACTTTTTGTTTTATCAAGAATTTTGAATTGTCATTAGGTTTGATTTATTGTGAAAAAAAAACGATTCAAATTAAAGTGTTCATTTAACTATGAATGATGCCTTGGTCAAACATCTCCAACTTTGACGTCATGTTTGGTTTTTTTTACCAAGCAATATTGTCTAGGAACAAGATAATTTTAAAATGTTGGTGTTTCATATCTGTATTTAATGGTCACCATTTCAGATTAAAGTATTGAAAGTAAAGTATTAAAGATACTAGCCACTCATTGAACAAATAAGTTCCAAGATTTCATCCAAGACTTTAATGTTTGGCGAATAAGTTACAGGGAATGACAGCCTGTACAACACCTGGGTTTTGCGGCTTTTCCAATGAGCAAATACTGTAAATCAGATTATTAAATTACTGCTCAAACTAAAAACCAAAGCTACTGTACCTAACGGGATGTATAGTTTCCAGTTACGGCAGGAATAAATCTAAATTCACTTCCATTCCTTCAAATTAAGGATAGTTCTGCTGACAAAACTTTGAATTACTGCATATGCTCAAAATTGGCCTGTCATCGGCTTAAATAAATAAATAAATAAATCTTTATTGTCACATAACGTTTACAAAATATAGCAATGCTATAAAACAGGTGACATTGTCAATACAGTATACAAATACCTTAAAACTAAGGAGTTATAAAAGAATAAAATAAACTAACGCTATGAAAATAGAAATAATTGTTGTAGACAAAATAGATAAACTTAAACATTGCATTTAAAATAACAAATAATTACACATCTTGATCACATAAAAACTCATCTATACTATAATATGTTTTCCTTAAAAGAAAATTAGTAAGGCTGCTCTTGAAATGCTTAGACTGTATTCTGTTTTTGAGCTCTTGAGACAATTTATTAAAAAACTTTTTGCCCATGTATGTCGGAGTTTTTTCTACTAATGAAAGACGGTGCCGCGGATATTGAAAATTATATTTAAACCTAGTATCGTACTTATGCTTGACATTTTCACTAGACAATTTTTAAAAATTTCCCTCCACCATCAAAAGTGTTTTAAAAATGGTTAAACTCGGAACAGTCATTATCCCTAATTCTTTAAAAATAGGTTTACATGATGTAAAGCTTGTATGTGGAAATACCGAGTGCATCAAAATACAAGGGAAAACTTAAAAATCTATATATAAAGCCAAAAGTGCCCATGAACTTTTGAGAAAACTACAAGTCACAACCCCATAAACCATATACTTAAAATGTTCGTCATGACAAGAAACCTTGCTCAAAATTATCCATTTTTCATAAATTGTCCTTTAAGGTTTTAATTGCTTTCCAAAGGGAACTTTCCATATACTTAATGTTAAAAATACCTCCGCTGTTCTTATTTGTATGTTATTCTTTCAATTTATTACCTTACTAAAATCTGGTGAGATTATTTGTTTGTAATGCTGTGATCTGTTTTGTTTATTTCAGCTTAACCAATCAATAGTTCTATTAATACTTATGAAGTCAAACGGGTTGAAGCCCGTGGGTAACAGCTAGTGTCAATAAATTCTCTACATGAGCTTTAGTTTTAAATCCTCAAAAGTTTTTATTTATCGAATTACCACCCAGAGTAGACCGTGATCAAATCTTAGTGACTGACTCTTAACTAACCTCTAAAGTCGCCGATGTATGCGATGTCAATGCTGTTCCCATTGTATTCCTTGTAGCTCAGATCCATATATTGAGGCAAAGTCACCCATCCTCTGCCCTCGTATACGACTCCATCACCTCCGATACAAAAACTGAAATGTTATTTCCTCCTTGCTAAACAAAACCATGAACCTAATCACACAGTTTAGCTCATAAATTGCAATAGGGTACATCAACTCTTTGACTATAAACTACTGTCAAGTAGACACGTACTTCATCCAAATGTTAATGGTGTAGCCAGCCTTATAAGAAAACTGTTATTTGTTTAACTAGTGGGCAAAGTGGTACTTTGCTGCACACAAGAGAAATGTTTACGCACCAGCGGTAGGTGAGTCTGGAAATTTTTTTGAGTAGCCTACAGCAAAGGCAGTTTACACTCGCTTTAGACATTACATTTTTCCTACAGTTATTATAAATCATAAACAAATTTCTTTACAGTGTACAACACGTTTTTAGGTTCGGTTAAACATTGAACGAAAATGGGAAACGCTGCACCAGCTGATCGTAGTTCTAATTATCTTTAAGTGTTGCCAACTTATTTTCAAGCGTACATGTATTGCATGCTAATAAAAGCACACTGTTTTGTGTTGTGTGATTGGAATACTGGTGTGTGGAAAAAAACTGTGCGGCAAAAGTAAGTAGATGTCAATTAGCAACTTTCTGTGCTGTAATCCACTTATGGCCACTTTGTCAGCTTTGTAAACACGAGTCATGGGTTAGTTCCCTGCTGTAACACACCTGTCACTTATAAATCAAATTGTTTAACCCATCGAACTGAAAAGCCAACCTATTGTAAAAATTATAAACATATTTAAACATCTTTCCCTTTAAGAAGTGTTCCTTTTTTCAATACTAATCTTGTTGTTATGTTTAGAGTACTATTTTACTTGAGGATCAGATAAGATTCCAGATGCTGAAATGTCATGAAGTTGTTTTTTATTAATCAGGATGAAACATTCTCCCAATATATCTACTAAAACATAATATTTCTGGGCCTTTGCATGTAGTGTCATAATTAAAACCCACGGTTGGTGTTCTTAAGTCATCAATACCAATTCCAAACACATAATGGGCTGTCAGTGGGAAAAAAGTTTAACAATAGTAAACCATCATAGTTCTACTACTAAAAGACTGTAACCATACTAAACTTCTTTCTTACCCATAAAATGCTACCAAATATCACTTTACCAATATAAATAAAAATGTAATTCAAATTACTTGTAAGCGATGTCTGGGAAGTTGAACTTCTGGATGTGTCGTTTCTGAATGCACTTCATAGCTCTTTTACAGGTCAGGTCTTTTCTGCATGTTTTGTAGTAGGATCGGTAATACAGCAACACAAATTGAACAGGATGATATAATGGCTTTAGTAACGGTTTTAGTTTCTTAGACCAATATTTTGCTCCCCAGTCCTTGCGAAACCAAAATCTCAAAACCATCTTGAAAAACAGTCTCTTTTGAATTTTTTTAGTTCTTAAAAAATCTTCCTACTCGCTAAGAAAAGGTTTGTCCCTTTTCCTATTAAATAGTTTTGTAATAGTCAAGTCACATTGTTTATACCGACTAGATTAAGCAAAAGTTCAAAGTCAATGTTGCTTCATTCTCTTTCACATTATATTGAACCAAAACTAAATTGGAAAACGTTTTTTACAATATTTCCAAGTTTGTATTGCTATCCAAAACAAAAGTTATTTTATGTTTTTAGAAAAGTAACACCCACTTTCACAATAATTATTCCCATGTTATCGTTTAATAAACAGTTAATCTTAACTATGGGTCAAATCTAAGATAAGTTTTTGAAAATTAACTATTATGTATGTCAATATTACTTGCAAGCCCTCTATGCCAGTTGTAGATCGACTTCGACGATCTCTACTATAATGTGTATTGTGTAGGCCTACTGAATAACATTGAACAACAGGTGCTAATTGAGTTTTCCTCAAACCAAAGCACACAAAAAGATTTTGCTAACAATGTAGGGGCCATTTTCTTCCGAAACACCAAACTTAGCATTCATTGAATTGCTGATGACAATCAGATATTTTTAACAAAACTTGAAGTATTTTACTGGCCAGAAGTAACAACTACACTAATATAATCTACAGGGTTAGGCAAAAGTCTGGAACCCCCCAGTTAACTTTTTAACGTGTTGCAGTAGGAAAACCAAACTCGGCACTTATTTACAACATAAGAAATTGCAATTTTTTATCAAAGTTACAATTTTGCACCAGCCCCTCAAATGGGATATTTTGGGGGCAGCCCTAAATTTTCAAATGTAAGCACCTATCATGTGACCCCTCATTTTAAAGGGTTTATCAAGAGAAATTGAATGAAGCAAACCAGAGGTCAATAACACACCCCTAATCAAAATGGCAGCCATTTTAATTATTTAAGATGAGCAGGCAAGATAAAGTCTGGTCACCCCCAGTTAACTTTAAAAATTTCATATTTTAATACTGACCAAAAGGAGAATTGTCTTCTATAAGTATGAAAGTGGATGTTTGTATATATATTTGTTTGTTTGTTTGTTTGTTTGGCAGGGATAAACTCGGACAATCGTTGTCAATCATAAACTCGGTTGTGATTGACAACGCACCGTATCATAACAAGCAACACGATCCAGCACCAATCACGTCAAGTCGAAAGGCCGAAATGATCAAGTGGCTTTCTGAGCGGAATATTGCTCATTCAAGCGCAATGTTCAAACCAGATTTGTACTCTATTATTAAAAGTTACAAGCCTAGTTTTAAAGTTTACAAAATCGATGAACTTTTTACAAACAATGGGCATGCAGTCTTGCGTCTGCCGCCGTATCATCCGGATCTGAATCCCATAGAGTTGATATGGAGCTTGCTCAAAGAAAGAGTTGCTAAGAAAAACGTTAATTTTAATATGGATTCAGTTGAACAGCTCGTTAAGGACACATGTGAATCCATCACAAAAGATGATTGGAAAAGGAGATGTGAACACACTAAAAAAATTGAAGAAGCCTACATGGAATTAGAACCCCATATCGATGAAGTGACGAAAGAAATAATTGTAAGATTAGGCGAGGACTCCGACAGGGACGAGTGGGATGACGTTGGTGACAGTGATGGAGATGTGCAGCCCACCGTTGAATCAAGTGATACAGACAGCGGAAGTGATGATGTCGATTTGGCAGGAATAGTTCCGTTCGACCGCTACTAACGGAGTAAGTCATATATATGTTGTATTTTTAGAAATAAAGTAAAGAATTTACTTATGCTTTAAGTTATTTAATGTATTTATTTAACCCGCTATATTGCTACAAAGTATGAAATTGAGTGTAATCTATCTAAACTAAAATATTACTAACAACATTTTATCTTAGAACTTAATACACTCCAAATTACTTTTTACAGCAAAATTACTGATTTAAAAAGCTGCATTGTACATAATTAACATAAGCGACACGTATGGAGTGTCCCCAGACCAGCGAGCACAGAGATCCAGGCAGTGCGGCGCCAACGAGCGGTGTACGACGGGGCCGCGGCCGGTGTATGGCAAACCGTATTGCGTCTGGCCGTGCCGTAAGCATTTAGCGAAGATAGTAGCGCGGCATCCCTTCCCCTCCCGCGGGCGGCGGCCCCACTCTCGCGCCTACTGCCCTCCCTCTAACGCACCCCACCGGTCATGCTATACCTGACGAGTTGTACAAGGACCCTTTTTGCAACAAGGTTTGAGTTTGAAAGAGCAATAAGAAAAGATGGTGAGACATTTATTTTGTTTTATAACAGATTGAAGTCTTTAGCTAGAAGTTGTAAATATGGAGATAGCTTAGATGAAAGAGTACGAGATAGGTTTGCAGTAGGAAGCAACTGTCCAGAATTTGAAGTTGAAGTCAGACAAAGATGGCCCGAGGGAGTTAATAACCGAGGTGAGCGTGTTAAGTCAACAGTAGTACTAGAGTTAGCTCAATCTATGGAACGCGCAAGAGAAGAAGTTTCCAAACATTCGTATAAAAATGAGATTTTCAAAGTAAGTGACAGTAAGGAAAAGAGGAAACCAGAGGTACAGAAATCTACTGGTTTCAATAGGTGTTATAGATGTGGGTTCACACATGACCCTAGTGAAGATAGGTGTCCTGCTGTTTCTGCTGTGTGCAAGAAATGTTCAAAGAGAGCAGGGCCGGACTTACGACTTCAGGGGCCCTGGGCAAATTTTCCAATGGGGCCCTAGGATTTCAGTTCGGGGGGGGGGGGGTCCTCCAGTGGGATTAGGGGGTCCTCCCCCGGGAAAATTTTCTAAATTTAGGCTTCAAATAGAGCAATTTAAGGCCAAATAAGCAATAAGTTCTATATAAAAAAATTCTTAAAATATAACTATTTTAACATATTTTTATATACAGCATATTTTAATTTTATACACAAAAATAAAAATGTATTGCTTTATAGTACCAGTGACGGCATATTTGGTATGGTATCATGGTAGGCTACCATAATATATTTGGATAAGAAGTATTGATATATTTTTGTTTATTACGTATTTAAATTATCGATTATTGCCGTCGATTTGTATGGTTTTTCAATATTACTACAATATAGGTGTGATTATTTTATTTTCATAATGGTTTTGGTACCTATGGCATTCTCGTTTTTATATGTTAAAGTCCTAGCATGAAAAGTAACATTGGGGACTTTCAAGTTTAAGTTTTTTTTATTGAGGAGCAAAATCTTGCAATGTCTAATAAACACTCACAAGCTAAGTATTTATATGAGTAACTGAAAGATGTTTAAATGGATCCAATATTGATTAATACAACACAAACATAGCATTGAATACAACATTACTCACTTCAGCTTTGTTTTTGTACTGTTAGTTTGCAGAATTACAATAAAATAACACAAAAGTAAGACAATTTCAACCAACTTGACATGACCACTAACTAGTCTCAAAGGACAAACTATGGGAGTAAAGTGATTTAAATTGTTTTGGATAGGCGATAAGGCATTTTATGTGTGTGTATGCGCGTGCGTGAGAGACAGGACTAGACTAGACAGGATCCCTTATCAGCTCATTATCATTTATTGTTGCAGCTGCTTCTGCTTATTCGCTTATTTACGATTTCATACGACAACGCTCGCCCAATCCCAATAAATGTAATTTTTTGTTAACATCAGACGACTCTAGTTGTTTTAAAGTGTCTATATAGATTTAAAAAATCTTACTGGTGCTACAGTATATGATTTTGACTCCAAAGACTAAATTGGAGATCAAAATTTGGACGCATAACTTAATTAATTACTATTTTACAAAACCTTTCAATTGAACGGATAATATACTTCTACCCCTTAAAATCCTGATTGGTATATACTTAGAGGTAAAAGAAAAGAATAACATTTAATAAAACATAAACGGAACAATGTTTTTATTTTTAAAAGTATTTGAACTCCAGTGAATATCCATTTAACACAATACAATTTTACAAGTTACGTTCTACGTTGGGACAAGAGTTTTCATATTTATTGTATTTTTGCCCCAAGCGCGGGACCCCCTTCAACTCATTCGCCGCGGCCGTACGTTCGGGCGAGCGGCTTCATTGAAACTGAAACTTGTCCGTCACAGCCTAGCACATATGCTCAGCTCATGTAAACCAGGCCTAAGCGTGGGACCCAGTGCAGCTCTGAGAAAAAGTCCCTTAGGGTCAAGAATCTCATTCCTAGTAATGCCTTAAAATGCACCTAACAATAACCTTAAACATAGGATAGCGAAAATAAAAATAAAGCTGTTACAAAAGAAGGCCATTTGTTAAGTGTCTGATCAATTTTCGAAGTTAATGATAAAAACTAATGTACAAAGGGGGCCCCTGTCGGGGCCCCCCTTGGCCCGGGGGCCCCGGGCGTTCGCCCCCTTCGCCCATAGGTAAGTCCGGCCCTGAAAGAGAGGCCACTTCGCAAGAATGTGCAAAAGTAAAAATAATTTTTTCAAGAGAACAGACGGTAATTTGAGAAAAGTAGGTGATTATCGTGATCAAACTTACGATGAGTGTAGTTCTGATATTGATGTTAGCGGAACACAAATTAGGTCAGTCAAGAGTAAGGTTCCCAGAGCTACAATAGATGTAGAATTGAACGGGTATAATGTTAGAATGGAGTTTGATTCTGGGGCTCGGGTAAGTGCTATAAGTTTGTCTCTTTGGGATAAGATCAATTCAAGTGGTGAATCTCTCAAAAAGACGTCTCATGTCATCACTGGCTATGGTAAAAATAAACTAAAAGTCATGGGTAAGGCTTTTGTGGACGTTACTTTACGTTATCGTACTAAGCGATTGCCAGTTATTGTATTACTAGAAGATGATGTTCCATTATTTGGGTTGCCGTGGAGTGTAGCTTTCAATCTTAATTTGCCTAGGGAAGTAAGGGTTAGGCGTATTGACAATGGAAAGACAAATAGTAAAGAGACAGATAAGAATGAAGAAAGTTATAGAAAAGAGTTACAAAAAGAAGTTGAGGCATTAACCCAGGAGTTTTCCGAACTCTTTCGTGATGAGCTAGGAACAATATCTGACTCTAATGAAGTTATACATCTAAAAAGTGGAACAAAACCTGTATCTTACGGGGCACGACGAGTTCCATTCCCCTTAAGGGAGGCAGTGGAGCGAGAATTACAGCGATTAGTACAGGAAGGAGTTTTGGAAGCAGTGGACCCTTCCGAAACACCGATAGAATGGAGTACCCCAACAGTGAACGTAGACAAGTAAACAAGGGTGGAGGTAGAGTCAGGATCTGTGGCGATTTCCGTACAACCTTGAATCCAAACATCGTTCCGGAAAGACACCTCTTGCCAACCTTTGATGACTTGACTTCCAAATTAACTGATGGAAAGATATTTTCAGTCATAGATCTTCGAGACGCATACTTGCAAATGAAAGTACACCCTGAGTCACAAAAGTATCTTACAATAGCAACTCATGTAGGCTACTTTCACTTTAAAAGGTTGCCTTTTGGGCTTTCCTCGAGTCCGGCAAAATTTCAAAGGTACATGGAAAGTTTACTAAAAGGACTTAATGTCGGAGTTCTACTTGATGATACAATCATTTCTAGTAAGGATAAGACTACCCATATAACCACTCTTAGAGAAGTTTTGAGGCGGCTAGAATCAAGTGGAATAAGAGCAAAACTGTCAAAATGTAAGTTCTTTCAGAAATCTGTAAAGTATTTAGGTCATACAATAGATGGAAATGGTATTCATCCCTCCGAAGACAAAGTTGAAACCATAAGACACGCACCACGGCCAAGAAACGTGAAAGAATTACGAGCTTTTCTAGGAGCACTAAATTTTTACGAAAGGTACATACCTAATCTTCATGCGATCGCTTCGAACTTGCATAAGCTGACTGGTACGAAGACTAAATGGAAATGGACCGACACTGAACAAACTATACGTTTGACAAGTTGAAGAATATCCTGTCATTAGAGAAGACATTAGTTCCACACGACATATCAAAGCCGATCATTGTTGAATGTGATGCTTGTGAACAAGGGGTTGGTGCAGTGCTGTTACATTTGATGCCGGATGGAACGGAAAGGCCAGTCATGTACGCCTAGAGGACACTAACAGAAGCAGAAAAAAGGTATGCTACAGTTGACAAGGAAGCGATGGCGTTAGTTTTTGCCGTGAAGAAGTTTAGACAATACCTCAGTGGGAGACATTTCAAGGTGAGGACGGACCACAAACCACTTGAAAGAATATTTGGAATGCATCGAGATCTTACCAAAGTAGTAAACAACCGTTTGGTTCGTTGGGCTTTGTATTTAATGGAGTATGATTTTGAGATCCAGTACATCAAGGGACAGGATAATTGTTTGGCTGATTTTTTGTCTCGGTTTTCACTCAAGACACAAGAAGTATTAGATCCAGATGAGAGAGAGATTCGAGCATTGGTTCAGGAAAAAATTGATGTAGTTTATCCAAATCAAGAACTTGTAATGGAGTACAAGAAAGACCCAAATATGAAGAAACTTATAGACTACCTGGAACATGGTTGGCCAAAAGATACAGAAAACTTACCATCATCTATGAAACCATATTGGAATAAGAGAGAAGAGCTGACATTAGAAAACGGTATAATCATGCGATTAGGAAGAATTGTGGTGCCACAGATTTTGAGAGAAAATGTATTGAAAGAACTCCACAAAGGACATCCTGGAATAGAGGCTATGAGGTCCCTATCAAGGTATTATGTTTGGTGGCCTAATCTGAATAAGGATGTTGAGTTGTATGTCCGTAGATGCCACCCATGCCAGAGTAACCGCTCATTTGACACAGAAGTACCTCTATATCCTTGGAATGTGCCAAGTGATCCTTAGGAGCGAATTCATCTCGACTTCGCAGGCCCATTCGACAACCGATTCTGGTTAGTAGGAATCGATGCTTACTCAAAATGGGTCGAGATCGAAGTAATGGACCGTACGACAACTGCTGCTCTTGTAAATAGATTAAGAACTTGGTTTTCGAGGTACGGTGTTCCTAAAAAAATTGTATCCGATAATGGCACCCCCTTCACGTCCCATGAGTTTAAGACTTTTTGTAAGAACAATAACATATGTCATGTCACATCGGCGCCGTATCATCCAAAAACCAATGGTTTAGTAGAGAGGATTATCAGAACCTTCAAGAGTAGATACAGTGCTTGCAAACAAGAAGGTCTCAGTTCATCACTTGCACTTTTACAAGTGTTGCTTGCTTATCGGAACACCCCACAAAAGACCACAGGACAACCACCATCAGTCCTTTTCTATGGTAGAAGAATACCAACAGCTTTGGATAGGTGGAGGTGTAATAGCAGAGAGAGAATAGAAAATCAAGTGTGGCGACAGAAGTACTACCACGACTTAAGATCCAAACAAAAGGAGTTTTCTGTCAAACAAGAAGTGTGGGTTCAAAATGAAACGAAGAAGGGCTGGAGACCAGGAACTGTACAAGAAAGGACGGGAGAGCTATCATACACAGTTGGGGGAGAAATAAAGAGAAAACACGCTGACCAGCTGAGAGCAAGAGAAGGTGCAACTGATCCACCCCAATGGAAAATGCAAATGGAACCTGAAAATGATGATGTACATAGTTTCGGAAACTCGGCCTAAATTGGGTGGGGAGAAATGTAGGATTATAGTTATCAGCTGAGTTATAAAGTTATGAATCATCTGCCATTTGGTTTGTTTACATTATTGTTTTGTTTTGTAAATAAATAGTTTTGATTGAGTTTACTTAAAATGAGTTTTAATAATTAATTATTCTATAGTAGCGAACGAGCTAACCTGAAGGCAAGTGAGCGCAGCGAACAAGCTCCAACCTAAAGGTGAGTGAGCGTAGCGAACGAGCTACAACCTAAAGGGTGAGTGAGCATAGCGAACTAACTTCAACCAGGACGTGATTGAGCCATGCGAACGAGATTATCTTGAAAATTAAGAAGTTATACGGGGCAAAGCCCGCGGGATTATAAATAGTCAAAGGCAAGACAACGTCTGCCGGGTTCAGCTAGTTTTTTATAAAGGTATGCTGAGTTTGGTTTTCCTGCTATAACCTGTTAAAAAGTTAATAAGGGATATTTCAAAATGACTGCCATTTTGATGAGGGGTGCGATATTGACCTCTGGTTTGCGCCATTTAATTTGTCTAGAGAAACCCCTTAAAATGAGGGGTCACATGATAGGTGTTTACATTTGAAAATTTGGGGCTGCCATCAAAATACCCCATTTTGGGGGCTGGGGCAAAGTTGTAATTTTGATGAAAAAGTGCAAATTCTTATGTTGTAAATATGTGCCAAGTTTGGTTTTCCTACGCGTTAAAAAGTTAACTGGGGGTTCCAGACTTTTACCTAACCCTGTATGTATCTATTAGTTATGTATAAAGTTTACTTCTTTTTTAATCACCCAGTACTTTGTTTTGGTAACCAACAAAATCTTACAAGCTTACTATATAAAAGAATGAATGAATGAATGAATGAATGAATTATTTCTTTAGTCCAACAAAGTATATACAGAATTTGTACACAAATATTTAAAGAAAAAAACATAAGTGAATTTAAGAATAAAATAAAATTAACCTTTACATTACATCTAAGTTTAAAAAAAAAGCGTACATGTTTATAAGGAATAAGCCGACATGGGCAGCGAGCCTGTGCGTCGACTGTAGTTGCGTCCAAAACATAAACATTAATAATCAAATGCAATAAATAAATAAATGACAGAAGATATGATGAGGTGAAAATATGATGTTAATGGAGTTACAAGAACAAAAGTTTAAATAAAAATAATTTAACTGTAATAGTGACGGGAATTCTACGGCTTTGAAAGTGTGTCTAGAGATGGTCTAGAGGGGAGAAGAGGGCGGCGGACAACGAGTCAGGGTACAATGGTCAGGTCGCATGTCGTGTCAGGAGTGTCTGTGTCTGTAATCAGCCGTGATGATCAGCTGCGCTGGTTAGATATTTCCCCTACATCATAGGCATTTTTACTCAGTAATGTTACACAATTGATTAAGGCGAAAAATAATGTCACAAGTATTTTATAGAAACGATTTATGCAACTGAAATAGTAACAAACCTAAACCTAAATACTGTATTGTTTTATTGTGCCAACTGCTCTACCACAGTGGTTTCAGCCACATGTTTAGCAACATCAATGTCTGGGGTTTTAGGTGGTAAAATTCCCTTTTTCCTCTCGATTATTTCATATGTTGGATCCACAAACTTTTTCCTTATTCCATCAAGCGATCAATTTTCTAAAAGCGTCAAGCATTATGAGAGGTGGTTCCTTTCCTGAAACATAATTTTAGAAATTAACAAAGCTTGTATCCGGTAATTAGTTAGTTATTATCATGTGCAGATAAAAATTAGTTTGTACTCTAACTTATAGTCAGGTCTTAGAATGGGCAATTTATTGTAATTAATTGAGTTAATAGGGATAGGATAAGGATGGCCAATAGCCATAACACATAAGACATAAGATATTTATTGCCGCTGATCATTTTTACATGAGATGGGCATGGTCAACATAAATATATACAGTCAATTACATCAACTATATCAAAATATATTTAAATTAAAACTTAAGTTGCAACTCAAGCCTAGTACCCAAACAACAGCTTTATAAAAATTAAATTAATCAAATTGGTAGACTTAATCCAAACAAACAAAAGTTAATGCTTATCATTAATTTGAAAACTTAAAATATATTATCCATGTTGGTAACCACAAACTCATTAATAATAAAGAATGGATTGTCTAGAAGCCATTAATACAACTTAATTTGAAGCCTTTAAGAGGAGTGGTGTGAGCATTATCGGGAAGCTTATTAAAAAATTTAACACAATTTACCATGTAAGAATTTTCAAACTTTGTTAACCAATGTTGAGGGATTTCAAGTTTGTTTTTATTCCTGGTATTGTGATTGTGTACCTCACGTCTAATGAAAAAAGAATTTAGATTTGTTTTTGTGAATATTAATACATGATAAATATATAAGTTAATAATTGTAGGAATCTTCAATTGTTTGAAAAGACATCTACTATGATCTCCAGGCCTGTCGTGACAAATTTTTTTAAGAATTAGGGCATCTGAGACATTTGCAGAGTGTCCCCAAAGTATGAGACCATAAGCAATACGATACTGAAAGAGTCCGAAATAGGCAGTCCTCAGATAGTCTGTAGAGATTATGGAGCTCAGTTTCCAGAACAAACAATTGACCCTTGAGAGTTTTTTACACAAATTTACAACATGGTCATTCCATGTGAGCTTTGAGTCTATGTGAATTCCCAGCAGTTTTACAGATTGATTTAGATCGATGTTTGATTTTGATTGATAGTTTTGATTTTGTGGAAGACTGAGCAAAATATTCTGAGTTTTAGTCTCATTACACAGCAGTTTGTTAGCTGAGAACCATTCTTGTGCTTGGTTTTGAGCTGAGGTTATTCTGGCCTCCAAGAGGTCAAGGTTTTTACTACAAGTAAAAAACGTGGAATCATCTGCATAGATAATAGAATTTACACCTACATTTTTGGGAGGATCATTTATTATTACAAATTAAATGATTAAATGATGAGTGAGCACCGATAATATTTACATATTGCTTACGGTTCATTAAGTATGATTCAATTAATTTCAAGGAGTCGCCAGAAACGCCATGAAAGTTAAGTTACTTACAGAAATTCCAACAAACTAGAAAATGTCATTAACCCCAGGAAGGAAAGCATTGATGACAAATTCGACAGCAGTGGGATTTACAAATTTAATTGCAACGAATGTACAAAATACTATATAGGACAAACAGGAAGATCATTCAAAACCCGGTTTAAAGAACATCTCCCAAAGAAAACAATCACCCAAAAATCGAATTATGCTGAACATCTCATACAATGCGGACATAACTACAGTTCCATCTCAGACAACTTGCAAATACTACACAAGTGCAAGAAAAGTCATTTGATGTCCATACTTGAGTATTACGAAATTTACAAAGCAGTACAGTGTGAACCAAACAACGTAGGTACTGAATGACAAAATTAATACTCAAGGAAATGCATTGTTTGACACCGTGATACAGCTGGAGAAGAGAAATGACGTCATGGTGCACAGTACACCATAGACAACGATCCATCCTGCAGTCGTCGCCCAGAATTAGTCATGTGCGTACGTGAGTTGTGGCCACCGCGACGACAACAACGACCGGTCTTTAAATGTATTAAATGTGTGTTTGTGTATTGTGCAATGACTGTTTTATGTTAATATACTCAAGACGAAGCGATAGCGGATACCTGATGATGTCACTGTGCTGACGAAACGCGTCGTAAATAACTACAATCATTTGGAACGGAAGAAGGTAACATTATTATTATTTATTAATAACTAACGTTCCAGTAGTAGGAAATGAATTCTAATGAAAGTTAAGTTTAGTAAGGATATTGATAGGCAGTACACAATCAAATGCCTTAGTTAAATCTAATAGGGATAGGAAGGCTGATTCTTTATTTTCAAAGGCTTTACTGACTGCTTTACTGACAATTTTCATTACTGCAGAAATCGTAGAATGCCCGGGTCTAAAACCAAATCGGGACTCAGAAAATAGTCTGTTTATTTCAAAATAGTTGCTAAGTTGATTGTACATAACAGTTTCAAATAATTTTGAAAAAATTGGAATAACGGATATAGGACGATAATTTTGTGGAAGATTTCTGTCTCCTTTCTTAAAAACTGGTGTAATTTTAGACAGTTTTAACATATTTGAAAAATAGCCAGATTCTAAACATCTACTTATTATGTAAGCAAGTGGTTCCTTAATTATATTTTTATTGTCTGTTTCAGTAAATAGTTGGATATCCAATAAAAATCAATGCTTTTTGAATTTGATAGGCTTGAAACAATTTTCAAAACTTCAATTTCCATATATTCTAAGAAGTTGGTTTTTTATAGATCAGATAAGGAACGTACCATTGTGATGTATATTTTAGTGTATTCTTCAGTCAGTACAATCAATGACCTGGAAGTAACTGTATCCATTCCGTTTAAGGTGTTTATGACATTTTTGGGAACAAATATGTGTTTTTCAGGTAATAAAATTACCATACCACCAACAAAGCAGTTGTAATTTACTCAAAATACACCAGTATTACATAAAAACCTAAATTTCATCGAACCTTTGTTTAAAATAAAGTAGATTTGTTTGTTTGTGTGCAATAGCTCAACATTGGTCTTTTATTATTACCATCAACCTGTTTTTTTGGAGAGCATTAACGTTTCTTACCTGCATTGAGCTTGTCGCTAACAGAAGGAAGTAGGACGTTAAGGAAATGGACCAAAATTGGCTTTTTTTCTTCGAGTAGGAAATGACATCTTAGATCCTTCTGTACCTAATTTATCAAAATTCACAAAAATCCACTAAGGACGTATAAACATAGGTGGTTAAATTCCCTCTTTCCTCTCGATTATTTCATATGTTTGATCCACAAACTTTTTCCTTATTCCATCAAGCGATCAATTTTCTAAAAGCGTCAAGCATTATGAGAGGTGGTTCCTTTCCTGAAACATAATTTTAAAAATTAACAAATCTTGTATCCGGTAATTAGTTAGTTATTATCATGTGCAGATAAAAATAAGTTCATTTGTACTATAACTTATAGTCAGGTCTTAGAATGGGCAATTTATTGTAATTAATTGAGTTAATTGGGATAGGATAAGGATGGCCAATAGCTATAAGACGTAAGACATGAGAAATTTATTGCCGCTGATCATTTTTACATGAGATGGGCATGGTCAACATAAATATATACAGTCAATTACATCAACTATATCTAAATATATTTAAATTAAAACTTAAATTGCAACTCAAGCATAGTACCTAAACAACAGCTTCATAAAAATTAAATTAATCAAATTGGTAGACTTAATCCAAACGAACAAAAGTTAATGCTTATCATTAATTTGAAAACTTAAAATATATTATCCATGTTGGTGGCCATAAACTCATTAATAGTAAAGAATGGATTGTCTAGAAGCCATTGATACAACTTAATTTTGAAGCCTTTAAGTGGAGTGGTGTGAGCATTATCGGGAAGCTTATTAAAAAATTTAACACAATTTACCATGTAAGAATATCCAAACTTTGTCAACCAATGTTGAGGGATTTCAAGTTTGTTTTTATTCCTGGTATTGTGATTGTGTACCTCACGTCTAATAAAAAAAGAATTTAGATTTGTTTTTGTGAATATTAATACATGATAAGTATATAAGTTAATAATTGTAGGCATCTTCAATTATTTGAAAAGACATCTACTATGATCTCCAGGCCTGGCTTGACAAATGGTTCTAATTAATTTTTTTTTTAAGAATTAGGGCATCTGAGACATTTGCAGAGTGTCCCCAAAGTATGAGACCATAAGCAATATGAGACTGAAAGAGTCCGAAATAGGCAGTCCTCGAGGATAGTCTGTAGAGATTATGGAGCTCAGTTTCCAGAACAAACAATTGACCCGAGAGTTTTTTACACAAATTTACAACATGGTTATTCCAGGTGAGCTTTGAGTCTATGTGAATTCCCAGCAGTTTTACAGATTGATTTTGATCGATGTTTGATTTTGTTTGATAGTTTTGATTTTGTGGAAGACTGAGCAAAATATTCTGAGTTTTAGTCTCATTACACAGCAGTTTGTTAGCTGAGAACCATTCTTGTGCTTGGTTTTGAGCTGAGGTTATTCTGGCCTCCAAGAGGTCAAGGTTTTTACTACAAGTAAAAAACGTTGAATCATCTGCATAGATAATAGAATTTACACCTAAATTTTTGGGAAGATCATTTATTATTACAATAAAGAGAAATGGTCCGAGAACCGAGCCCTGCGGCACTCCCAAGGAGACATCACACAATGATGAGTGAGCACAGATAATATTTACATATTTCTCACGGTTCATTAAGTAGTATGATTCAATTAATTTCAAGGAGTCGCCAGAAACGCCATGAAAGTTAAGTTTAGTAAGGATATTGATAGGCAGTACACAATCAAATGCCTTAGTTAAATCTAATAGGGATAGGAAGGCTGATTCTTTATTTTCAAAGGCCTGTAGTGCTTTACTGACAATTTTCATTACTGCAGAAATCGTAGAATGCCCGGGTCTAAAACCAAATTGGGACTCAGAAAATAGTCTGTTTATTTCAAAATAGTTCCTAAGTTGATTGTACATAACAGAAAAAAATGGAATAACGGATATAGGACGATAATTTTGTGGAAGATTTCTGTCTCCTTTCTTAAAACTGGTGTAATTTTAGACAGTTTTAACATATTTGAAAAATAGCCAGATTCTAAACATCTACTTATTATGTAAGCAAGTGGTTCCTTAATTATATTTTTATTGTCTGTTTCAGTAAATAGTTGGATATCCAATAAAAATCAATGCTTTTTGAATTTGATAGGCTTGAAACAATTTTCAAAACTTCAATTTCCATATATTCTAAGAAGTTGGTTTTAGCGAATTTCCCTATAGGGAAGTAGCTATTACCGTAGGTGGCACGGTAAGACCTAGACCCGGGACCGATTTACTTTTTCATTTTGATGTCCCCAGAGGCCAAAAACACCATTTGTTCAAATTTTTATATATGTATATATATAGACTTATATATATATACGTCCGTGAACGCGATAACTTGAGTAATTTTTGTCCGATTTTGATGAAATTTGGTTTAAAGGTGTAAAGCAGGATAAACTTGAATGAGTTTGCGAACCAGCACGATCGGACCATGGGAACGGGGCTTTACGGGGGGTTTTATGGGGTAAAAATTGGTTTTTCTCACTTTAGACCCTCAAAACACAAAATTTCCCGATTTCTCTTTAGACCTTTTTAAAGAGCTTAAAAAAACAAATAATTTAGTATATAAAAGTATTTTTGTTCGATTATTAGTAACGGAGAAAATTAAAAAAATTGTAAATTTAAAATTCCCATGTTATTCTTATGGAGAATATTGTCAAATGTTCTAGTTTGCTTGTTTATGGATACATTTTGATCAAACTTGGCAAATTTATTTATTTTGTACTACGCTATCAATATTTTACTCAAAAACACACTTTATTAGTTTCCTTGTAGCAGCAAACCTAGGTACTCGTTAAACATAATGTTATTAAAATATATTTAACTGAAAATCAATTCAGACAAATGGAAATTCGCTTAGTCGGCAGGTTTGCTGCGGCGGGGGTATTTTATAGATCAGATAAGGAACGTTCCATTGTGATGTATATTTTAGTGTATTCTTCAGTCAGTACAATCAATGACCTGGAAGTAACTGTATCCATTCCGTTTAAGGTGTTTATGACATTTTTGGGAACAAATATGTGTTTTTCAGGTAATAAAATTACCATACCACCAACAAAGCAGTTGTAATTTACTCAAAATACACCAGTATTACATAAAAACCTAAATTTCATCGAACCTTTGTTTAAAATAAAATAGATTTGTTTGTTTGTGTGCAATAGCTCAACATTGGTCTTTTATTACTACCATCAACCTGTTTTTTTGGAGAGCATTAACGTTTCTTACCTGCATTGAGCTTGTCGCTAACAACAGAAGGAAGTAGGACGTTAAGGAAATGGACCAAAATTGGCTTTTTTTCTTCGAGTAGGAAATGACATCTTAGATCCTTCTGTACCTAATTTATCAAAATTCACAAAAATCCACTAAGGACGTATAAACATAGGTGGTTAAATTCCCTCTTTCCTCTCGATTATTTCATATGTTTGATCCACAAACTTTGTCCTTATTCCATCAAGCGATCAATTTTCTAAAAGCATCAAGCATTATGAGAGGTGGTTCCTTTCCTGAAACATAATTTTAAAAATTAACAAATCTTGTATCCGGTAATTAGTTAGTTATTATCATGTGCAGATAAAAATAAGTTCATTTGTACTATAACTTATAGTCAGGTCTTAGAATGGGCAATTTATTGTAATTAATTGAGTTAATTGGGATAGGATAAGGATGGCCAATAGCTATAAGACGTAAGACATGAGAAATTTATTGCCGCTGATCATTTTTACATGAGATGGGCATGGTCAACATAAATATATACAGTCAATTACATCAACTATATCTAAATATATTTAAATTAAAACTTAAGTTGCAACTCAAGCATAGTACCTAAACAACAGCTTCATAAAAATTAAATTAATCAAATTGGTAGACTTAATCCAAACAAACAAAAGTTAATGCTTATCATTAATTTGAAAACTTAAAATATATTATCCATGTTGGTGGCCATAAACTCATTAATAGTAAAGAATGGATTGTCTAGAAGCCATTGATACTTAACTTAATTTTGAAGCCTTTAAGTGGAGTGGTGTGAGCATTATCGGGAAGCTTATTAAAAAATTTAACACAATTTACCATGTAAGAATATCCAAACTTTGTTAACCAATGTTGAGGGATTTCAAGTTTGTTTTTATTCCTGGTATTGTGATTGTGTACCTCACGTCTAATAAAAAAAGAATTTAGATTTGTTTTTGTGAATATTAATACATGATAAGTATATAAGTTAATAATTGTAGGCATCTTCAATTGTTTGAAAAGACATCTACTATGATCTCCAGGCCTGGCTTGACAAATGGTTCTAATTATTTTTTTTTTTAGAATTAGGGCGTCTGAGACATTTGCAGAGTGTCCCCAAAGTATGAGACCATAAAGCAATATGAGACTGAAAGAGTCCAAAATAGGCAGTCCTCAGATAGTCTGTAGAGATTATGGAGCTCAGTTTCCAGAACAAACAATTGACCCGAGAGTTTTTTACACAAATTTACAACATGGTTATTCCAGGTGAGCTTTGAGTCTATGTGAATTCCCAGCAGTTTTACAGATTGATTTTGATCGATGTTTGATTTTGTTTGATAGTTTTGATTTTGTGGAAGACTGAGCAAAATATTCTGAGTTTTAGTCTCATTACACAGCAGTTTGTTAGCTGAGAACCATTCTTGTGGTTGGTTTAGAGCTGAGGTTATTCTGGCCTCCAAGAGGTCAAGGTTTTTACTACAAGTAAAAAACGTTGAATCATCTGCATAGATAATAGAATTTACACCTACATTTTTGGGAAGATCATTTATTATTACAATAAAGAGAAATGGTCCAAGAGCCGAGCCCTGCGGCACTCCCAAGGAGACATCACACAATGATGAGTGAGCACCGATAATATTTACATATTGCTTACGGTTCATTAAGTATGATTCAATTAATTTCAAGGAGTCACCAGAAACGCCATGAAAGTTAAGTTTAGTAAGGATATTGATAGGCAGTACACAATCAAATGCCTTAGTTAAATCTAATAGGGATAGGAAGGCTGATTCTTTATTTTCAAAGGCCTGTAGTGCTTTACTGACAATTTTCATTACTGCAGAAATCGTAGAATGCCCGGGTCTAAAACCAAATTGGGACTCAGAAAATAGTCTCTTTATTTCAAAATAGTTGCTAAGTTGATTGTACATAACAGTTTCAATAATTTTGAAAAAATTGGAATAACGGATATAGGACGATAATTTTGTGGAAGATTTCTGTCTCCTTTCTTAAAAACTGGTGTAATTTTAGACAATTTTAACATATTTGAAAAATAGCCAGATTCCAAACATCTACTTATTATGTAAGCAAGTGGTTCCTTAATTATATTTTTATTGTCTGTTTCAGTAAATAGTTGGATATCCAATAAAAATCAATGCTTTTTGAATTTGATAGGCTTGAAACAATTTTCGAAACTTCAATTTCCATATATTCTAATAAGTTGGTTTTTTATAGATCAGATAAGGAACGTACCATTGTGATGTATATTTTAGTGTATTCTTCAGTCAGTACAATCAATGACCTGGAAATAACTGTATCCATTCCATTTAAGGTGTTTCCCTGGCTTTTTTAGGAACAAATATGTGTTTTTCAGGTACCGGTAATAAAATTACCATACCACCAACAATGCAGTTTTAATACTCAAAATACACCAGTATTACATAAAAACCTAAATTTCATCGAGACTTTGTTTAAACTAAAGTAGATTTGTTTGTTTGTGTGCAATAGCTCAACATTGGTCTTTTATTACTACCATCAACCTGTTTTTTTGGAGAGCATTAACGTTTCTTACCTGCATTGAGCTTGTCGCTAACAACAGAAGGAAGTAGGACGTTAAGGAAATGGACCAAAATTGGCTTTTTTTCTTCAAGTAGGAAATGACATCTTAGATCCTTCTGTACCTAATTTATCAAAATTCACAAATATCCACTAAGGACGTATAAACATAGGTGGTTAAATTCCCTCTTTCCTCTCGATTATTTCATATGTTTGATCCACAAACTTTTTCCTTATTCCATCAAGCGATCAATTTTCTAAAAGCATCAAGCATTATGAGAGATGGTTCCTTTCCTGAAACATAATTTTAAAAATTAACAAATCTTGTATCCGGTAATTAGTTAGTTATTATCATGTGCAGATAAAAATAAGTTCATTTGTACTATAACTTATAGTCAGGTCTTAGAATGGGCAATTTATTGTAATTAATTGAGTTAATTGGGATAGGATAAGGATGGCCAATAGCCATAAGACATAAGACATGAGAAATGTATTGCCGCTGATCATTTTTACATGAGATGGGCATGGTCAACATAAATATATACAGTCAATTACATCAACTATATCTAAATATATTTAAATTAAAACTTAAGTTGCAACTCAAGCATAGTACCTAAACAACAGCTTCATAAAAATTAAATTAATCAAATTGGTAGACTTAATCCAAACGAACAAAAGTTAATGCTTATCATTAATTTGAAAACTTAAAATATATTATTCATGTTGGTGGCCATAAACTCATTAATAGTAAAGAATGGATTGTCTAGAAGCCATTGATACAACTTAATTTTGAAGCCTTTAAGAGGAGTGGTGTGAGCATTATCGGGAAGCTTATTAAAAAATTAAACACAATTTACCATGTAAGAATTTCCAAACTTTGTTAACCAATGTTGAGGGATTTCAAGTTTGTTTTAGCGAATTTCCCTATAGGGAAGTAACTTATATCTTTTGGTTAGTCAGTGTAGTAGGTTAGGTTAACCCTCCAAGCACTTGTCGAAAAATCGACTCACGACACACTTTGTGTTGTGTCACTTGTCGATGCTTCGACTCACAAACACTGTTTACGGCGAAGGCTCTATGACTGACAAAATCGGATTGAACTGGATCGAGTTAGGTATCGTTTTATTTGTCATATTCTAAGCTTTCTCCGGAGGTCTGTCTCTAAGCGCTTTTTTTTCTCGAGCCGATCATAATTGTAGCAGACAGCTGACGTGCGTATTTGTAAACAGTTTGGTTTACGGCGAAGGCTCTATGACTGACTGAATCGGATTGAACTGGATCGAGTTAGGTATCACCATGCTATGTTTCTAAGTGCTATTCATTTTAGTTGCGAAAATATTGTAGCAGACAGCTGACGTTCGTATTTGTAAACAGTTTGGTTAACCTCGCACCGATGACTGATGTGTTTTATTACGTTTATCATTGTTTTAGTATTAAAAATCAAAAGTAGTGATATACGTGGTGCATTATAAGAAGATTTAAGTGATTTTGGAGGGCTGGTTGATGATCCTGAAGAAGTAGGTAGTGTTATTGATGTAAATTATCAGCCAGATTCCTAGCTATGGTTAGGCTATGCATTCTTAGCTAAACGCTATGTACTGAAATCTGTTTTTTGCCCATAACTTATTTATTTGCAAATCTACTTCCTTATCTAATATATAAAATTCTCGTGTCACAGTGTTTGTCTGCAAACTCCTCCGGAACGACTTCACCGATCGTTATGAAATTTGGTGTGTAAATTCTGTAGGTATGCGAATCGGACGTAAACTATTTCCCGTTTCGAAATTCTTAAAAGGGCTCCGCCCCAGTGGCTCTGGAGTTTCCCATGTTAACCTTATGAGAAATGGAATTAATGAATCTTAACAGCTGTTTCAATTAAACAAGTTGGTTCTGTTCTATGATGTTCAATAGCATTAAAGTTACAATTATTACCAACAGGGTGCAGCACTATTATTTCTTTTACATTTATGACAACAGCTAATTTGCAACCAAAAGGTGAGTGAGCGTAGCGAACGAACTTCAACCTGGAGGCGAGTTAGCGTAGCGAACGAGCTAACCTGAAGGCAAGTGAGCGCAGCGAACGAGCTCCAACCTAAAGGTGAGTGAGCGTAGCGAACGAGCTCCAACTCAAAGCTTCAACCTGGAGGCGAGTTAGCGTAGCGAACGAGCTAACCTGAAGGCAAGTGAGCGCAGCGAACGAGCTCCAACCTAAAGGTGAGTGAGCGTAGCGAACGAGCTCCAACCCAAAGGTGAGTGAGCGTAGCGAACGAACTTCAACCTGGAGGCGAGTTAGCGTAGCGAACGAGCTAACCTGAAGGCAAGTGAGCGCAGCGAACGAGCTCCAACCTAAAGGTGAGTGAGCGTAGCGAACGAGCTCCAACCCAAAGGTGAGTGAGCGTAGAGAACGAACTTCAACCAGGACGTGATTGAGCGATGCGAACGAGAAAATTAAAACATCTTGAAAATTAAACGTAACGGTACTTTCTTTCCATCGGTCTGTCTTAGGGGAAACCTATGACTTAGGCGATACGAAGTTCGCCGGGTCAGCTAGTATTATTATATATTTGTAATCCTCATTAAATTTAGAACAAAGTGGCTATTTTCAAATATTTATAGGCCTATAATTTATACAATTTCATTGAGCGCAAACTTATTTTTTTTGAAAATTTGCCAAAATATATTTTTTTTTACCTAAAAAATTGTTTTGAAACAAATGTTCCTTATGTTTTATGTATAATATTGAAGCCCATGATTTTCCAAACAAAATGGTATATAGAACAGTATAATTAACAACAGTTAACACTTCTCAGATCCGTTTTAATAAAACCTTGCAAATGCGCAAAAAATAGGTCAGACATTAAGGCTAAAACTAGGGACACTCGGAGGGTTGTTAAGCTCTACAAAATGGTTTCAAAAGAAATTGCTAAATCTTTTGTTTTTAGGGTCAAAAGCGGGAAAACCCTATTTTTACCCCATAAAACCCCCCAAAAAAAACACTCATTCCCATAGTCCGATCATGCTGGTTCGCGAACTCGTTCAAATAAATGTAGGTTTACACGTTTATACCAAATTTCATGGAAATCGGAGCATTTTTGATCGAGTTATCGCGGTAACGGACACTTATATTTATATAAATATATATATATATATATGAATTTGAGCGGATGGTGTTTTGGGCCTCTGGGAACCCCAAAACAAAAAAGTAAATCGGTCCCGGGTCCAGGTCTTACAATGAGACCTACGGTAAGCTTATTCCCTAATTATGTCACAGATTCAATTTTTTTTTTATAACAGAAAAGGCATAGGTATAGGGAATAAGCTCTCAAACGGAATTTTGAAATGTTACAGCAAGTTTAGTTGGCTAGGTTAGCTTAGAACAGTTTCATTTCAATATAGGCCTAATTGTTTAAATTGTTTGTTAACATGTTCGCTACTGAGCGTCGCATATATGCCACGCTGATCACTGTCACTGACCGAGGTATCTATACAATTTAATCTTCCACTTAGACCGGCTGACTCTTAGTACACGAAGACTACGGACGAAAACCTGTTAAAAACAGTGATCATTTACTTTGTAATACACTGCAATAGTGCATATAAATAATATATTCTTTCTTTAAATATGTCTGATAACCTTTTGATGTCACATATTTGCGACGCCCGGTCAATAGGCCTAGCAAAGACAATAGGCCTAGTGAAAATGATTATTTTTTTCTTGAAATAGCCCAAATGCCGCATATATGCTACGTTTCATATTTGTTTATTTTCTGAGGTGAAAGTGTGTAAAATACCCCCGCCGCAGCAAACCTGCTGACTTAGCGAATTTCCATCTGCCTGATTGGATCTAAACTAAAATGTCTCCTTAAAAATATCACATTTATTCCCTATTTAAACAGAATTAGTTTAATGAGTACTTAGGTTTGCTGCAACTGGGAGGGTAAAAAAGTTTTTTTTAATGTAAAATATTAAAAAGTACTGTAGTTTAATAAGAAATTAATGTATTTTCCAAATTTGATCAAAATATGTTCATAAACAAGCAAACTACAACAGTTGACTTATTCTCCATAAGAATAACATGGGAATTTTAAAATTACAATTTTTTTGAATTTTCTCCGTAACAATTAGGTGCATAATAACGCTTCAATATACTAAATTATTTGTTTTTTTAAGCTCTACAAAATGGTTTAAAAAAATTGTGAAATTTTGTGTTTTTAGGGTCAAAAATGAGAAAAACCTATTTTTACCCCATAAAACCCCCCCATAAACACCCGTTCCCATAGTCCGATCATGCTGGTTCGCGAACTCATTCAAGTTTATCCCGCCTTACACCTTCAAACCAAATTTTATCAAAATCGGACAAAAATTACTCAAGTTATCGTGTGGATGGACGCATATATATATATATATATAATATATATATAATATATATATATATAGATATATAACAATTTGAACGAATGGAGTTTTTGGCCTCTGGGGACATCAAAATGAAAAAGTAAATCGGTCCCGGGCTTAGGTCTTACCATGAGACCTACGGTAATAGCTACTTCCCTATAGGGAAATTCGCTATAATTGAACAAATAAAAGCTACCGTACATAGGATAATGCAGCATACATAGTCTATTGCATACATAAATACAAAGATGCAGACAAGTAAAGACCAGTTTTTCCAACTATCATATAGTACTTACTCTGGTACTTACTGGTTGATGAATCAAAATTTTTTTATCGTAAATATAAATCACCTTTTACCTTTTACCTTTTACCTAGGTCCTCTTCTCCATAGTCGTTGAGACCAGGGAATCGTCAAAAATTCTTGTTTTTTTCTTTTTCTTTCTTCTTTGGATGTTGTTATGTATTGTTGTAGGGTGTGTGGTCTTCGAAATATTCATTTAGACTATAGTAAGGTTTGTTGATTAAGTATTGTTTCAGTTTTTTTAAGAAAAGAGTGTTTGAATCTATTGATTTCAGGTTGTTTGGCAGTGTGTTAAATATTTTAGTTCCTATTATTTTTGGATTTCTGCTGGTTTTAGTGAGTCTGTGTGGTTGTAGATTGTAGTTTGTCTGTAAATTTCTGAGGTTGTAGTTATGGCAATTGTTTCTGGTTTGGGGGGGTCATTTTTTAGGAATTTCATTATTTCTAGGATGTACAAGGAGGGTAAAGTTAGGATTTGGTTGGTTGTGAAAAAAGGTTTGCAGTGTTCCCTATATTGCAGTTGTTCAATTGATCTCACAGCTCTTTTTTGAAGTATTAGTAGCTTTTGTAGATGGTAGTC